GCATGCAGCCAGGAGGCAGCCTGGGATCGAACCACCGACCTTCTGATTAGTGGCTGACCTGCTCTGCCACCTGAGCTACAGCCACCCCATGTTCTCTAACATTTTAGCACAGAAAAACACCTTTAAATCGGACACCTTTAAATGTGAGGTTGCTTTAAAAAGCACGTTTTCACACGTGTACACGATTATTGCTCCCAGAGGAATTACAAGGCTAAACAGCAGCCAGGTGCTGGTAATCAAATGCACTTGACTGAAGTGTGAGCACCTTTACAAAGACAGATGTTTCAGCAGGTCTGGGCATTCAGGTGTGTGTCAGTGCATCAGCAATGATCTGCCTAAGAGCAATTGTTGGTTCTTAGCAATCTGGGAAGAGTTATAATTACAATATACAAATATACAATTTCAAGTCCATTATTCTACAGCAAGAAAAAATATTCACAAGTGGGAAACATTCAAGATAAATGCATAAAACCCAAGAGCTACATCTCAGACTCTACAGTTAATGTGTGAAATGTTAATGTTTATAATAGTACGACTACAAAAACATAAAGCAAATATGGCTTTTTTTTGGATGCTTCATCTGAACAAATCACAAGACCTCTGGAACAATGACCTTAGGACAGATGAGACCAGAGCTGTTTGGCCATAATGCACCGCATCACATGTGGTAAAACCATAGAACTGATATCAGTATCACTCCTCATACAATGAGTCGAGTAAAGTGATGGAGGGATGATGATTTGGGCTTCACAGAGGCAGGACTGGGCAGCTCGCAGTCACTGAGTCAACTATGGACACCTCTGTGTACTAAAGTCTTCTAGGATCAAATATGATGATTGAGCTAAAGCTTGGCCAGAGCTCGATGATGCAAGCGAGCAATGACCCCAACCACAGCACCACATCTACATCAGCATGGCTGAAAAGGAACAAGATCAAGGTGTTGCAATTACCTAAAGTTTTGACCTCAACCTGACTTACATGCTGTGGCAGGACCTTAAGAGTGCTGCGTAAAAATGAATGTCCACGAACTTCAATGAGCTGAAGCAACACTGTAAAGCAGAGTGGATTAAAATCCGTCCACAATGCCATGTGAGACTGATACAAGTTATGACTATTAAGGTAGTTCTATAAGCTCCTGAAACTTTGGGTGTATTTTGTGAAAAGCACAAGTTTGACCAGATGAATTTATATAGTTGCATGTGTGTATATGCACGAACAGGTCTGGAGTATTGTAACCACTAAAGCTGTGTCCCATTTCAGGGTCTGCACGCTTGAAGTACGCATTTTAAGTGTGATTACGTCACCGCCACGCGACGACGGCTGTCCCAATTCGAAGTGTACTCCAAATGCGCCGTCAATTTTCCCCAAATATCAAGCGTGGTCCGGTGCACGCTTCGTGGTCCCATATATCCCACAATTCAT